TCCCCAACCCTCTGCCCCCACCCCAGCCCCCCCGCAGCCAGCCTTTGACGTTCTGCCTCTGTGGATCTGATGATTCCAGGTGCCCCCACATAAGTGGACTCATACGGTCTTCCTCCTTCTGGGTCCAGCTTGTGTCCTTCGGCATAAGGTCCCTAGGGTCCATTCCTGGTGTAGCCCATGTTAGAATTCCCTTCCTTCCTCACCTACGTGTTTTGCATTCACCAGAAACCTCTGTCTCCAAAATCAGGAATGGGAAAGTTTACGCTCTGACTATACCTGTAAGCTCCCTCGCTTAAATGCCCCATGGGGTCGCCTGGGTGGCTCAGTTGGTTGAGCGTCCAATTTCAGCTCGGTGGGGATCTCACGGTTCGTGAGTTTGAGCCCTGTATCGGGCTGTGTGCTGTCAGCCCGGGGCCTGCTTTGGATCCTCTGTCCCCCACTCGCTCTCTGCCCCTCCCCCGCTCAAGCTATTTCTCGCTCAAAAATAAATCAACATTAAAAAGAAAAAAAAGCAACGCCCCCCGGAAGAAGGCGCCTCGGGTCCAGCAGGCCAATAACGCACTGCCCCTCGCCAGGTCCTCTTTGTCATCCCCTGCCTCGTGTCTTCACGTTCCTCTCAGCTTCTTTTAGATTCCATGGCTCGGCACAAGCACGGTCCCCTTTCCACCCTCCATGTCAGCCTCCTGGCAACCCCCAGAATGCCAAATAGGCCCCCTTTCCACCTTCCTTGAGCCTGCATTTCAAGGTGAGGGTCATTGGAGTAAAATCCCCAACTGCACAGAGAAGCACCTGGTAAATTCAAGATGGATGGATCCATGGATCATTAGTTACCCTCCAGCCCCATGCCCCCTCCCCCCCCCCATTGCATAGCCATCCTGCTGTGTTCTTCTAGGTATGCTGTCTCTTCCCTCCCTCACTTCTCAACCCTCTTCCTTCTTCCTACCTCCCCTTTGTGCAGAGGATCTGGGCTCATGCTTTCCGTGCAAAGTGCAATCGAAGCCACTGCTCCTGTCGCCTCTCCCCTCCCTCCCTCCCTCCCTCTGCAGTGGCAGCGCGGTCTCTAGGTCTATAAAAGTCTAAGTCCTTCCTCAAGTGCAATGGACTCTCCCCTCTTCCACTCACCTTAGCAGGGACTCTGCCCTTCCGTTACACTCCTTCCTACGCCCTTATTCTGGCCCTCTCCACTGGATAGCTGCCGTCAATTTGCAAACATACTCTAGTATTTTCCATAAAAAGAATTTTTTTTTCTCCTGAACTTACGTGCCCTTAACAACTCAGACCCACGGGTCTCAACTTCATGCCCCGCCCCCAGCAAAGTCTTGCCAGACCACTGGCCTTTTTACCCTGCCCCCCACTGTTTATCCAGCACCTGTCACTTGAGTGAATGAGTGAATGACTATGTATCATTTGTGCTTTAGGTCTGCTGAACGCGTGCATGAATGAATGAATGAATGAATGAGGGACCCTGTATGGCTCGCCTGCCCCTACAGGCTCCTCTGATCTGCCTAAGGTCCCTTCTAACTAGAAGGTGGACTCTTTCTGACCCTTGTCCGTTTCCTGTTCCAGGCTCTTGTGAGGAGCCGGGGCTCTAACCGAAGCCATCTGCCTTCCATGGTCACTGAGAGAGAGTCTTGCTTGACCCCTCCAGCAGCAAGAAGTGACCCCAAAGTTCTGGGTGCCATTCTCTTCCCACCCCTGACTCTGGTCAGTTCAGCTCTGACCTCCAAGTCCTGCGGGGCATTGTGACAGCTGCTGGTTGGTTTCTACCAGCAGATGATTCTATGCAATTCACTGAGATCAATTCAGGCAGAGGGATGGTCCTGTGGCGGCGAGGCTCGGTCCAGGGTTAACTGGACACCACTCACATCCACCCCAAACTTTTGCCCTTGTATATAGTAGAGTGTCTCTCTTTTCTTTACAAAACTAACATGATGTCGCCTAGGTATCCTTTTCTGAGTCAGACCTGCCTCCAGGAATGTGAGGGCCAAGTGGTGGTTTGGTATTCCTTTCCAGAATTAAGGGAGGTTTCCCTACCTAGAATTTTGAGGATTCGAATTCTAACAAGCCATTTTCTAACCAATTTGTAGGTAGGCAGGTCATTATTAATCTTTCTTCTCCAGCTGACTTTGTGACAAATAATCCCACAAACTGGCAAACTCCCTAAAAGGTATGTAAACAATAAATGCCAACTGATTCCCTCCAGTTTGTTGGTTTAAGGTCATCACCTTGGGGAATCTGGAACAGTTCAAGAAGAGTTTTCTCAACCCAAGGACTCTACATGGCAGTTTCTGGCTAAAGGAACTCCTCAAGCTTTTCTCCTAAGCAAACAGCTTCCCATTTGTCTCTTCAAAAATCTCACCAGAGGCACCTGGATGGCTCAGTCAGTTGAGCGTCCGGCTCTTGATTTCAGCTCAGGTCATGATCTCATGGCTCACGAGTTCGAGCCCCGTGTCAGGCTCTGCCCGGACAGTGCGTAGCCTCCTTGGGATTCTCTCTCCCTCCCTCTCTCTCTGCCTCTCCCCTGCTCTTTCTCTCTCTCAAAATAAATAAACTTTTAAAAGAAAAAACAAAAATCTCACCAGATTTTTTTCATTTGAGTCTCTGCTGAGCCACACAGAGCTGTGATTCACAAATGTAGATAATATCTGTCCATGAGCCTGTAGAAATTAAGAAAAATCAGTCCATCAGACTGAGAAAATACAAATAATATAATGAAATTGTCATAAATCTGAATTTGATTGATTGTAAGGGATTACACTTTATTG